CTTCTATTAATCAAGTTTATTTTTTATTATTTATATAATGTTAGAAAAGACCAAAAAAATTTTCTTATTTTTAGTTTATTAGTTAATTTTGTAATATTAAAAAGACTAAAAAATATATATTTTAATTACTTTATTTTAGCATAGAAAGATGTAAAAAAAATTGTTTTAATTACTTTTATAAGGATGAAAATACCAAAAATATTTTAATTATTTATTTTAGTATTTTTATTTCTAATTTTTCATTAGTTAATTTGAATTATATTAAAATGTAAATAAATTTGTGTCATAATTATTATTTGATATAAATATTTATATTTAAATTAATTAATAATTTTTTGCTGCCCGATTTCAAAGGAGGATCCATTGTTGTTGACACTCTTGTCATTTACATTTTTATTTGCATTTTGTATCTTTTTGTATATACTTCTTGTAGTCCTAGAACTTGATATCTTTTAGGAAGTCTCCCTTAGGATTACCATTTCAACTATAGATAACTTACCGTTAGTTCCTTTTTCTCATGAGAGAATTAGACACTAGTCATCCTTAGTTGAGATGTAATTCTCCTACCCCATAACATAGTTGAGAAAGATGTTGATTTTTTTCCACTTAAGAGAGGTATGTGGCATACTCATCTGTTTTATATCCGAATTGGAGTCCTTCTCTCAATGTGAAACAAAGATCCATCTTCCACGGGTTTGTGGTGGTTTAATTAAGTATTTTCCTTAAGATGACAACTTGTCTCTTCTCCTAAAACTAATCAATAAACATTGTTTTCACCCTTTAAGGGGAACTACGAATGCTCTGATTCCATTCCCGTCAGGCTACGTAGGAATGAGATGTGATGTCTTGGCAAGCATACTTAGAAATAACACATTAGGTCTCTTTACCTGTTCACCCTTTAGCAGACAAAATAACAAATAACACAATAAAACAAGAGGTTCTTGTAGAGTGCTATAGATACTTAGGATACTAACACTTTTCCTAGGTATAACCAACCCCCAAACCTTAGATTCTATTTTTCTTAGTTCTTGCATTGCATATTTTGGGTTATTCGCTCTTTTTCCCTTCTCTCGGATAAATTAAAGATCAATGGTGAATTAAGAACTCTCACCGCGACAGATCCCTCTTGCAAGATGAAGGTGTGAAATGGTGGATGGTGGATGGGATGATACAAAACTTGTTCAAGGGTTGGAACAAGCTCTAATGAGTGTCTAGAGATGGTTTGTGAAGTTTCTTTGTGAAATGCATGAGTGGAAAGTGTTTGGCTTGCGAATTTTCAAAAGTGGGCTTATTTGCAAATTCTGTTGGAAGGGGGAGTTTGCAGAGGTTTTAAGTGTGATTTTTGTGTGTTTTGAGACTTAAGAGAGCCATTTGTTTATAGGAAAAAATTGGAGCCAAATAGTTGGTCAGATTATCAAGTTCTCAACCTTTGGCTTGGTTGAGTTACAACTTGATAGTTCCATAAATTTATGCCATTCCAATGCAAAGTACAAGCTCTTCTAGGAAGGTTGAAAGTGAGTAGATGTGTTGCTTCTCAGTACAAGGATTTTTGAGTGCAGAAGAAACCATTTCAATGCTCAAGAGAAGTTGACTTTGGTTAAAGCCACTTTATGAAAATGGAAGTGTGACCTTTCTTCTAAAAATGGCATAATCCCTTGAATAAAGGCTTAAACACTTGTGTAATACTTCACTATTCAGTGCATGCTTTTGATTATGGATAGATTTAAAGGTAATATGGTCTGAAAAGTAAGATTATGAGTCATGGCTTGGAGATTTGGCCAAGAGCAAGTTGTGAAAATGCCTTGAAATCCAACTTTGTGACACCAACTTCATGCATTTGAAATTATCAGCTCAAGAATGGGATCAAAGAGTTCTTGTACTTTTTTAAAAGCCCCAAACATTTTCTACAACTTTCATGTTTGAAGAACTTCTTTATTCTCAATGGATCATAATGAAAACTGGCTTCAAAGTTTGGTACTCTTTGAAAATGAAAATTGCCTTGAAAATTTTCTAAATGTGGAAGTTTTTTCACTAACTTCATGGCTTCATAACTCAAAATTCCTTCACTTTTTGGAGATTAACCTCATTGAAAAAAGTTTTAGTATGTTGTAAGTGCTTCAATTTAATCTTTGGAACACAAAAAATAATGGTATAGATTGAAAGTTATGATCTTTCAACGTTAATGCTAAATTAGGAATTTTTTTTACCACACTTACAAAAAATTCAACTTTCTTCCACTTTACCCCTTTTGCAAGAAACCTCTAAATTATTGATTTTTCATGATAAAAATTATTGATCAAACATGTTTTCATGAAATTTAACTTGAGGACTTCAATTTTGACCAAAAATCTCAAAAGTCAAAGGGTTGAGTTTGCAGTTAAAAGCTTGTGTATCAGATGAAATTGACTGTGTGATCTTCAATGATCTTGAACTCTTGAATCCTTAAAACATCATGGATGGAATCCAAGGATGTATTTGAGCATCTTGGATCATGTTCCAAGGCTTGAGATAATGTCTTGATCAAAAGTCAAATACACAGTTGACTTTGTCTAATGAAACCCTAATTTGTGATCAGATGAAGTTGAATCTTGATGAACTTGTAACAAGACCAATTTGCACTAGATTTTCGATGGAGAGAGGTTGCTTGAGTGTATGCACACTTGGTAGGTTTTTGATCAATCCAAGACATTGATTGTTCAAATAAAGATTCCCTTGATTCTCTTGGTTAAAAACCCTAATTTATAGATGAAACAAAACAAATAACAACTTGTACAAGGTTAGGTTAGTAATGCAATGCATGATGCTCCTAGGATGATGATAAAATCTAGGGTCAAAATTTGGGGTATGACAGATCACATATGATATATCTACACCTACCTGAGTGCGTCATGCGCCAGCTCAGATTTATGCAGTTTGTTCCAAGAGATCTGTTGAGTTTGCACTTAAAAGCTTGTGTATTAGATGAAATTGACTGTGTAATCTTCAATGATCTTGAATTCTTGAATCCTTAAACATTATGGATGGACTCCAAGGATGTATTTGAGCATCTTAGATCATGTTCCAAGGCTTGAGATCATGTCTTGATCAAAAGTTAAAGACACAATTGACTTTGTTTGATGAAACCCTAATTTGTGATCATATGAGGTTGAATCTTAATGAACTTGTAACAAGACCAATTTGCACTTGATTTTTGATGGAGAGATGCCGCTTGAGTGTATGCACACTTGGTAGGTTTATGATCAATCCAAGACATTGACTAATCAAATAAAGATCCCCTTGATTCTCTTGGTTCAAAACCCTAATTTATAGATGAAACAAAACAAATAGCAACTTGTACAAGGTTAGATTACTAATGTAATGCACGATGCTAATAGAATGATGATAAAATCTATGGTCAAAATTTGGGGTATGACATATCACATCTAATATATTCACACCTGCCTAAGTGTGTCATGCGCCAGTTTAGATATATGCAGTTTGTTCCAAGAGATCTCTCAAATTTCGCTCATTCTTTTATGACTCACAGAGATGTAAATACCATGTATGATGACTTTCTTAATTATCTGGTAATGGTTGAAGAATGAGGTACCATAGCTCCTAACGATTGAAGAATGAGGTACCATAGCTCCTAACGATTGAAGTCGTGCATACGACTACGTCTAATGGTATTTCAGAGTGTCACATTCTTATATGACGTCAGATGTTCTAAGAGATCCACATTGACCAGCTGATCATGATATGTTAGAGGAGGAACATGCTAGGGTATATCATGTTGTTGATGTGTTACCTGCATGTCATCTTATTATGGATCTTGCGCGAGATGATATACATAGAGGATTCTTTCCGGAAGGCTCTTCCGAAAAGGAGATTGTAGATGTCATTCTTTCTGAAGCACGAACAATATTGCAATACAGGAGGCAACGAAGGAGCATGAGGGTCTAACATACACATTGTTGTAGTATTTGTATTATCGATTATGAATATTATTATCGTTTATTACTTTGTTTTTTCATAGTATTATCGATTGATCCATTCACATATGAAATTTTTATCTTGTGCGTTAAATGTATTATTTTATTTATAAAAATTTTATTATGATAATATAATTATAATACATGACCTATATAATCTATTACATCAATGTATTTAAAAAAAAAGAGTCAAAATTTAATGTTTAGGGTAGATATGAAAGTGTATATACTTAATCTACTATGAAGATGCATCTCCAGATTAATTTTTGATAGAATGAATATCTCTAAGTTAGAAATGTGTATATCTAAGTTAGAAATGAATGAAATATATATATATATATATATATATATATATATATATATATATATATATATATATATATATATATATATATATATATATATATATATATATATATATATATATATATATATATATATATATATATATATATATATATATATATATATATATATATATATATATATATATATGATGAATATATATATATATATATATATATATATATATTCATCATATATATATATATATATATATATATATATATATATATATATATATATATATATATATATATATATATATATATATATATATATATATGATGAATACAAAATTGCATCTCTAAATTATTTTCAATAAAAAATTATAATTTATTTAAACATGTATTTATTGTGAAATGAGTTTGTCTGAAAATTTACTTCTACATTCATAAATACATTTTTTAGAAATTCTTTCTCTACCTAGGGCGGGAGAAACATAAAATAAAATAAAAAAAAAATAAAAAGGGTTACATTATGTATTTCTTTCATTTTGTTTTGCATAATTGTATTATTGAAAAATAAAACGACGAAGCAGTGAGGTCGTATAATTAAGTTCCATTGACTGACGTTCTAACAAAGAGTCCCCCTCCCCACCCACTCCACCTCCTCCTCTCTTGCTGCTTTAGTACGGCATCTCCGCCCGAAGCCAAACCGAAACTGAAAGCGCCATCGATCACCCACACCATGGACAGCAAAAATGTCGTCGTTTGCGACAACGGAACCGGAGTACTTCTCTCTCTTTCTCCAATCTCTTCTTTTCATATCAAAATCAAACCGCATTGCAATGGATCCAACCGATCTTTGAAAATCACCAATCTCAAATTATCACAAATCGTGTTTTTCAATTATACATTTAACAGTTCATGTTTTATCTACTCCTAATGTATTATTATTACTTTTTTGTGTATTTCTATTTAAATTCAGTATTTGAAGTGTGGTTTTGCCGGTGAGAATTTTCCTACCTCCGTTTTTCCTTGTGTTGTGGGGAGGCCAATGCTCCGATACGAAGAATCACTTACCGAGCAAGAGTTAAAGGTGTGACAAACCTGATTTTTAAGATTTTTGAATTGTGTTTTGTGCTTTGTTTGATCTACTAGATGGCACGTGATTCTTGGTAGTATGATTTTATACAAGCTCATAGTGATTTCTGGGTTAGTTACTGAGGGTCACACATTGATTATAGATATGTCCAATGTAGTGCTCATTCTACAGTTGGATTTTGTTTAAATACAAAACTTCATTAAGTGCTTACAATATAAGTTTTTATGGACTATGAAGCACAAACTCCGATACGGACACCGGGACACCGGGACACGACACAACACTACACTGATAATGTCAATGTCAAAAACTATCAAAAAGATAGGACAAAACAGACATTGATAATGTTAAAAACATAGGACATCAACTCCGCTACATATATGATAATATTTGAGTTTTTTTAATCCATTTCTTATTAAAAGAGTTAAAACTATTCCAATCAAAATTAATATATTTAATTCCTTATCGATAACATTGCATCAATATGTGTTTAATCCTTTTAGATGTGTGTGAGATTTGTCCAAAAATGTATAAAAGTGTGTTGAAGCAAAGAAAAAAACAGTTTGGGTTTGAAACACTTGTCTCTGGCACTTGTGGTATGAGTGTCATACGCCAGGCACCGATTCAAAGAGTGTCAAAGCAAATTTTTTTTTTTGGACAGTCATCTGACTTTTCAGACACTTGTTTGACTTTTATGATGCGTGTCGTACAAATATCATACAAGTGTCAAACACCGACGTGTGTCAGACACCGTGACTCGCCTAATCCTAGAGGCGTCCGTGCTCCATAGCTTATGAGTATGTCTTTATCTATAAGCTATTTTTGTAACAAAGGATAAAATAGACCAATCCAAACTGTCTCACAAGGGTTTATGCTAGGAGATAAGCTTAAATAATCCAATCCAGGCTTTTGTTATTGGGCCAAAATCTCTGTTATTGAGCCAAGATTACTGTTATTCCTTCCCATTTTTCAGTTTTTTGGGGTTTAGTTAAACCGTAATCCCAAATTCTAAGATGATATTAGAGCCTATTTCAGATATGTTATTGGGTCAATGTTTTTAGACTTACATTGTTCATGTTTTCAAAAGTTTAGTTGTAGGCGTTCGAGAGTGTATCCCTGTTATTCCACCCGCATTAATCCACACTTTAGAGTTTTTAGATGGCCATTTCTGAATTTTTCAGATTCCCACATCAACTAGAGACATGTCTCAGGCAGTGTTTGCAATGTTTGGATAGCTTCATTATACAGGTCGGTGTTGTGGGTTGAGTTAGCCGTTAAGTCTATTCATCATAAACAATAATATATGCACTTTGATTTCTTGATTTTATGATGTTGCTTAGGTCTTGTGAGATTTATTATTTACATTTTAAGTTATGCTCTGTTTAGGATATTGTTGTTGGCGAGGGATGTGCAGACCTGCGACATCAGCTTGATATATCTTATCCTGTGACGAATGGAATTGTCCAAAACTGGGATGACATGTGTCATGTGTGGGATCATGCATTTTACAACGAATTAAAAGTAACCTTTTGGCGCTTCTTTCTCATTGTTCTTTCAACCGTGACTGTTTGATATCGTAGCTAACTCTGGGCCATAATTTTACTGACAGATTAATCCTCAAGACTGTAAGATTCTACTTACTGATCCGCCTCTTAATCCCTCAAAGAATCGTGAAATAATGGTTAGTGCAATGCCAATTATGCTCTCCCTTTGCTAATTTCTTGTATATTAAATTGTGTTAGATGTAATTGTTTATGTGATTTGACCTGGCAGGTCGAGACAATGTTTGAGAAGTACAATTTTGCTGGAGTGTTTATCCAAATCCAAGCTGTTCTAACATTATATGCTCAAGGTGCTTATAGAGATGAGTGAAGGTTGATGTTTTGTTGTTTTTTTTATTTTTAATCTCATCCTAATTAGAGCTTACACCCCATAATTTCTGTTACTCATTCTTGGTAACTTCTAACTCTAATCATAACATATACCTATTTATAAACCTTGGATATTCTATAATGTATGATAATTTTATTTCACACATCAAATGTGGTGACATCATATATCCTAATTTGCAAGGCTTTGACATAAGGCGTATTTGTGACTTCAACAATCAAGTAACAAATAGCAGGAACCAAAGTCCACACGTACACTGATTTCCACAAATTATATCTTTTGACATAAGCTATTTAATGTAGACTACCTTTTATTAATATGCAATCTCTGTGCCTTCATAACACTTCTTTGCTTGTCTCAGGTTTGCTGACTGGATTAGTTATAGACTCGGGAGATGGTGTCACTCATGTGGTAATTAATTAACTATGTTGATCACTATGAGGGTGCTGATACTAGATTCTATCTCTTATTGTTATATAACTATGTTATGAAGCTTTACAAACTTATGTCCTTTTGGTCACTAATAATAAGTAACAAATAGTGGATTCAATGAGTTGAGTTACGTATCTAAATCAAACATCTGACAATTTCATAAATATTCTAAACTCATAAATATTCTAAACAATATTGTATGTTAATCTTAAGAAATATTGATACAAAAGTACTATATTGGCTGACAAACTCTATTGCAAAGTTGGTTATGGATGGATTACCTGCTGGGTGCTCGTCTGATGCATAGAAAGTATTCATTCCACAATCACAAAGGGGGAAGCACCAGGTATAGGCCTAGAAAAACAAGAGATTGCAGTTTCTATTTTTGATGGTAAAATAGACTTCATTCAAATGCTATAACAAGGATAGTACAATCAAACTGAGAATGAGTTGATGCGTTCTCCATCCACATTATGAGATCAACACAAGTAGCTAAGTAAGCCGACTACATGGCAATAATACACAGGGAGATCAGAAGCCAATAGAGAATCTACAATCCAAAATCTTAATCCTAACAACCAAACTAATTTCTTCCACACATGGCCAATGGTCAAGGTCAATGAAATATCCAGTCTTTAATTTTATCAAATTACGGATCATTCTCTGGCTTGCGGGGGCTCAAATCGACTACAGGTAGTCTTAAAATGACCAATCCAACCACATGTCCAGAAGTCATTTGTATCGTTAATAGGTTGCTGGAGTTGGTGGTAGCCATGATAAGCCCCTTACTCAAAATACAGTACAAATATACCTAGTATTTCTCAGGCTTTTCAGCAAACACATGGAGCACAAACTTGAAACAAACTTAAAATAACAAAAAAACACAAACAATGATCCATAACAAATAACCATAACAACATTAGATTTCAAACTGGACAATAGTGAAGTGAATTGCCATAGTAGCTTTGGAGGGGGACGCTTGGGGGTCGTGTCTGCATGTGAAGGAGTAACCATGGGTGTGAGATTTCGAGGCCATGTATCAGGCGGGGGACGGTTAACCGGAGAGGGATTTGTGACGATTAGTTGTTGAGGGGCAGCCAATGATTTGGTGGCTCCATGAGTGGCTTAATAGGGAGAGGAGACAAGGAAGAAAAGGAAGGAAGGGAGGAGAGAATCCCCGAAAATGGGGAAGATAAGGGCCTCCACAAGATAGGAAGCTTGCCCAGACGGTGCTGGGAGAAAACCTAACAAGAGGGAGATGATCACATTATCGCACGAGAGAGATAACCATTTTTCACGTCTTATCTAATTTAACTTTAGATAATGTGCCTTGAGATTATAGTTCGTTTACTTTCACTCCTAACTTTTTCTTGGGTATTTACTCTACACACCTAACACATTCTTAATGGTTCAACACAATTTGGAGATACACAAATCTAATATTTGTGTAGAGAATTATTTAAATCAATTCTTGAAAAGAGAATTATTACTCTCCTGCATGGCTTTTGCTTGAAGCAGAATGAAATGGTGAAATTTTGTGATTCACCATTTCTATGTTTTGAAGCAATAGTTATGAATATGATATACTGACTAACCAATTATAATCTTGCCACACAAGCATTATGTAGATCCATGGTTTAATGAAGCAAAAGGTGGTTAATAAGTTTAGTTATATGAGAAATAATTATTTGAAAGTAGTCATTCAAAAAATGTTAGTAATGGAAGTTTTGAATTTTGATCCAGGTCCCAGTGGTTGACGGATATTCATTCCCTCATTTGACAAAACGAATGAATGTAGCTGGCCGGCATATAACTGCCTATCTCGTTGATTTGCTTTCAAGGAGGGGGTGAGTTCTATTTCTTTTCATTTCAGTTGTAATCTAATATCAGTATTATGAAAAGCTGAGCCCTTTATGCTTTAATTCTAACTGGAACGCAATTTTCTTTCCTCAAGATATGCAGTGAATAGGACTGCTGATTTTGAGACTGTTAGGGAAATCAAAGAGAAGCTATGCTATATAGGGTTAGAAACAAATCTCAAATCAATTATTAGTTTTGTGATCCCTAAAATGTTTTCTCCATAACTCATCTATTTTGCTGCAGCTATGACTACAAGAGGGAATATCAGTTGGGGCTTGAAACTACTATCCTTGTTAAGAACTATACTGTAAGTTAGCATCTTGAATTTCCTGTAATCTGTATGATTAGTTCTGTGTAAATGATTTCGTTAGCAATTCTGGTCGAAGTGACTTGCCTGAGAATATAAAGGGCACAGTTGGCTCAAGTTCTGCTGATCTATTAGCATGTTCTTTACTGAGTTTCTTTTCATATGCTTTTCAAAGCTTTTTCTGTAACCAATTCATAGTTGTTGTGTCTTAATGGATGCGTGTAATATACACTTAGCTTATTATTATTATTATTGTTGTTGTTATGGTGAATTGTTTTGTCCCCTAACTTAAGTTAATTGTAAATTTTAGTCTCTAAGCTTTCCATAGTAGTTTTTTCATCCTCCAATTTCTGAAATATTTTACAACTGGTCCTCGTTGATATATTTCTGTCCCTTCAATATAAGGTATATTTTTGGGATTCAGTCCTTTAATACATGATTATGTTCAATTAATCGTTGTAAAATGAATATTACGTGGACTAGAATGAGAAAAAAATTATATTATAGGGACTAAAAAAACAACTGGAACCAATTGTAGCACATTTCAAAACATTTAGGACAAAAATATGCTTTTTAAACTTTAGGGATTAAAACTGCAGTTACCCCAAGTTGTTGGAGGACTAAAAAATAATCAATGCTTATTATTACTATCCACTTGCATAGGGGTCCATACATGCCAAAAGACGGTTGTCATTCATATACTGTTTATGTTGATATCACTTATATTGCTTTGCACTCTTTTAAATCAGCTTCCAGATGGAAGAGTCATTAAAGTAGGCACCGAAAGGTTCCAGGCTCCTGAGGCTCTTTTCACACCGGTAGGTACTTGTTGCTCATGTCACTTGTGTTTTCTCTAAATGAGCTTTTTAAAACCTATCAAAATGATTATAGTGTAAAAGGATTTGTTAAAATTAGTATTTTTATAATGTGCCAGTGCAATTCCAGCTAAATATATAGCATGTATAATTTTTTGACGTATGATTGCTTGGTGCTTCCCCCCTTCTTGCAGGAACTTATAGATGTTGAAGGCGATGGAATGGCTGACATGGTGTTTCGTTGCATTCAAGAAATGGATATTGACAACCGGATGATGGTATGATGCTCCATTTGAAATCTATATTTAATATCTTTATAATAAGGTATTTTTTGCGTATTGATTATCTCCATTTATAATTTAAAAGGATATAATATAATGGTATCATCCATATCTCAAAATTTAACTATGGGAGAGTGAAATCGTATTAGTTCTAATCTAAGCATTCTGACATCTATGGCAGCTATTAGATGCGTCACTTCAGCACCTCCTAACTGATTTCATTTCCCATTTTTAGCTGTCTTTAAAAAAGTTGTCATTTTTTTATTTAGTTAGTCTTGTTTTCTAATTTCAACTAGCTATCATATTTGTTGGATCAACTGTGTTCTATCTTTCTGTTTGTTGTATGTGTTTCTAACTGAATAATTTTTAAGATTCACTTGTTTTTCCAATTAATTTGTAGTTGTTGTGCTCATATGATTAATATGGAATCAATGCACTTAAAATTTCCCTGTCTATCCTGGCTAGCTGCCTAACCATGCATTTGCAGTATTACATGTCTCAAAAGCAGATATTTTTACCTCTCATATATTTGTTGGCTGTCATGTCAACACTATGGGGATTTTCGGTTGGATTGTAGATCACTCTATACTTGCTTACAGAAAATAAAATACTACTTAATTTCACTTTGGACCATATTTTGCCTGGAAACTATTTTCATGCTGCCTTCAGTTTACCACTTTTTGCCTACTCAACCAACCAAGTAAATCCTGGTGCTTTGTGTCAGTTTTATTTGTAAAAACATAGACATGCTTTTTGGTATTTGTAATGGGTTCGTGAATAAATTACATTTTCATCTGCTGTCTTTCCAAATGAGTATCATTATAGTAGTCCTTAAATTGAATAACTTATACTTATTATTAAAGCCACTTCAGCTCTAGAGAATCTTTTTTTATAACTTTCACAGAATAATTCCTCCGTCCTCTTCTACTGTATTTTGAAAATGTCATGCAATTTATTCTACATGATGTTCTGATCTTTTGTCTTGCAGCTTTATCAACACATAGTTTTAAGTGGAGGGAGCACCATGTATCCTGGATTACCAAGCCGGTATTTGGTTATTTCTCCTTTACATCAGCACTAATTTTCTTTAATCATTTGGGTTGCCGATTTTTTTAATATCATCATTATACATGTTCACAGAACATGTATTGCATAACTCTGATTTCAATCCATCAGTTTCTTTTTCAGCCAAATCCATGGTTATGATATTTTAATTATATATAATGAGTTAATTGACATGCACTCTGTCGGTGTAAATTGGTTTTACACTCACATCCAATAAGAACCCACTTCACTGCTTTGCCACTTTAATATACAATTACTTAATTTCAAAATACATTTACAAGAGTGAGATGACAAGGAAAAACAACGGAATCTCGTTAGTGTCAGAGTAAAATTGGTTTACACTGATAGCACTCCTTTAAACTCAGTAATAGTTAATGCCTCATATGTATGCTACAGATATCTGTGATTACCTGTTCAATATTTGAAATGTTACTGTATCTCTTTATATCTTCGTATATTTTTCTTTAGCCAAAAGTGCTTTTTAGAACTCGATTATATGTTTCTTATTTGAAAACTAACAATAACTGTAGATTTCCTTTCATCTCAGTTAAATGATAAGCTTTTTTATACAGTTATAAACTAATCATATTGTAAGCTAGGTTACTTACCTAAGCATATATGATAGAACCCAAACAAATGAAGAAGCACCACATCAACAATTAATTCACTCAGCAACTAATGGGCCAAGCCGTTATTGGTTTATTCTAGAAGAAAGGGCAGATTGGGAAATAGTGGCTAAGGTGGTTAGAGATGATGTGACGTGTATCACATAGAGCATCACAGCATTTCCTTTCCTAGTTATAAAGAGTCAGAGAGGATATTGAGAATCATCTTTGCATTTTGTCTGTTAGTGCATTGAAGATAGAGAGTACTGACTCTCTATTAAGGAGGCTAGCTCTCGGCAGATCTAGGAACTCGCAATTCCTTATTCTGTACTTTGTTCCTTTATACATCAATACAATAAAGCTTATTCTGTACATTATTATTATTATTACTATTGTGTACTGTGTTGGTACGCATCAAGTGGTCCGACCTGCCGGATTCTTGACGGTGGTACCCGTGGATGCCGGCGAAGAAAATCACAGCAGTAGCCGTTATGAGAATGGAGGCAAAGGTGACAACCTTTGTCTTTGCCTCCATTCTCGTAACGGCTACTGCTGTGATTTTCTTCGCCGGCATCCACTGGTACCACCGTCAAGAATCCGGCAGGTCGGACCACTTGATGTGTACCAACACAGTACACAATAGAATAGTAATAATAATAACAGCATTTTAAGAGAAAGAGCTTTATTGTATTGATGTATAAAGGAACAAAGTACTGAATAAGGAATTGCGATTGCGAGTTCCTAGATCTGCCTCTTCAATAGAGAGTCAGTACTCTCTCCTCAATGCACTAACGGACAAAATGCAAAGATGATTCTCAATTTCCTCTCTGACTCCTTATAACTAGGAAAGGAAATGCTTGTGATGCTCTCTCTGATACACGTCACATCATCTCTAACAACCTTAGCCACTATTTCCCAATCTGCCCTTTAGAATCCCGTAGAATATTAATGATTTTTTTCTAATATAACCTTTTTCATTTATTTCTCTTTCTTCTTTCTATTTCTTTAGTCCATTTTCCAATATAATTAATGAAAATCATAGATCATTTCATTTTTCCATAAAGTAATAATTGCATTTCTTAATTCGTTTGAAATACCCAAAACGTCTTATAATTTGAGACGGAGGGAGTATCATTTTAAAGATGCCTCAATCTTGCTTTAATATTATGCATTAAGTAGTATATTTCTAGAGTCTAGATTGTTTTGAATTTCAAATTTTGATGTAAATAAATAATTTTCTGCTTTTATTGTTTCATCTGTTGGCACATGGTGTTTAGTACTCCTAAAATGGTATGGGATTTCTTAGTGTGTTTCCAAAATAAAGTTGGTAATCCTGTTTTCTTTTTCATTCTCCCATCTTCAGATTGGAAAAAGAAATACTTGATCGTTATCTTGATGTTGTTTTGAAGGGCAACAAAGATGGATTGAAGGTAAACTTCAATTTTCTTTTCTTTTTGTTTCTGCATGGGTATCCAGTGTGTATTATTTACGATACTGTTTTTCTTCTTCCTGTATTTTAACATTTATCGAAAACAACTTATCAAGTGCTTATCAACGATGCACTTACAGAGTACATGTTTATGTCTAACCTGTTTTTATAGTCAATGAGAGAATGAAGGAAAAGTTTGCATAAACTTGTTCTCATTTTTCTTGTTATTGCTAATCAGAAATTGCGACTAAGAATTGAGGACCCGCCACGTAGGAAACACATGGTGTACCTTGGAGGTGCTGTCCTTGCAGGAATAATGAAGGTTTGAGTTAAATGTTAATTTTTTGTTTGCTGCTATCTAAACCTTATATGCTTTATTAGCTTTGAATGTTATATTGGATTGGACTAATCTGAAAGTGCAAAATAAAAACCTTATAGTATATGTTGATTAAATGGTGTACACATTTTAAAAGATAAATGACTAATTTTACACCAAAAAGGTAAAGGAGTTGTTTAAAATTTTAAATTAAAGGTTTCTAATGTAGTTTTGCCTTTATTATACATTAGCATATACTTTGGGATCAAAGTTTGGTTTCACAGTTGGAGCACTTAGAATTGATTTTGGGTGTGTAGAATTGATTGAGACATGTTTGGTTGCCCTCGTGAGAATTGATTTTGGCATGTTTGGTTGCTCTCATGAGAATTGATTTTGACATGTTTGGTTGCTCCCGGGTAGAATTGATTATGCTTTGCAGGATCGATTATACTTGAAGTTATGATTCGTAGCGTGATTTTTACTCAGAAATTTACTTTTCAACCCATTTTTACAAAAATTTATTCAAACATTAGTCACTTTAGCTTCAATTTACCTTTGGTCAGAATCAGTTTACACTCAGAATCAATTTTTTTCATCGCAAACCAAACATACCCTAAGTTGCATCTTTCACTTTAGAAGATCCAAACAATTAGGGTCTTTCCTAGTTTGAAATCAAGTATATCATCCAAGAAACATTTTCTCTGGTGGTTAAAATGCAGGATGCGCCAGAGTTTTGGATTAACAGGGAAGATTATCTAGAAGAAGGAATTGCTTGCCTGAGTAGGTGTGGCCAAGCTTGACTTGTAGAGAGTTCCAGTGATCACTCAAAAACCAAGACATTATTCTCTGAAGTAAAATCACATGAGAGATTGAGTGATGAATACTCTAATCAAAGCTATGTAATATTTGAAACTGCCTTCAACAGTTTGCATTAAATGCTGTTGTCCTTGTACTGAAAGCTAGTTTTGAAAGAACAAGAAGTCTTGTTTCTTGATAGATACGCAAAAGAATTCATCTAGTATGTTGCTTGCTACAATTATTGTTGTAACTTTGTTGCCATAAATGGTGAATAAAAAGCAGTGTAAATACTTTCTTCAGAGTTTGTACTAAGTACCAACACAATTCAATTTGTACTAATCGGTTCGCTTCAAATGACTTTTAACTATAATTCGGTTTGGTTGAGTTTGATTTTCTGATTAAACTTTACTATGAATAAGCCTAGTGATATTTGTGATTTGGTGCATGGTGCAAGTCCATATGAAGTAGGCATCATTGATTTTAATAAGCATTCAATCATTCTTCTAAAAAATTATTAAATTAGTCCAATAAATTATTGTACATAATTATATTTTAATAATAATTTAAATGAGTCTCATCAATAATTAATTAAATAAAAACAATTTATTTGTTAAATTATAATTGTTACATTTGTTAAATTATAATTGTTACATTTGTTAAATATTAAAACTTGCCAAATTTAGGAAATTCTCCCCAAAATTTGATTTGTGCAAAAGCCATTCTAAACCTGAATGAATGTATTTTTCTTTAGAAAAAAAAGAACATTAGACAAAAGAGACTTTTTTTATCCCACCCCTTGAGTCTCTTAGTTACCATGCGCGTTTTCTTAAATGTCCTTAGATTTTAGAGATAAATCTCCCAACGCATTTTTTTTCTTCAATTTTAAAATTTTTCGGAGATACATTTTCGAAATCATCATAAAACGCGTATTTTATTCGTTTGAGTCAGACTCTCAAATTTATAAATAAATTGTTTTTGAAAATATATTTTTGAAAAAATTTAAAGTTGAAAAAAAAGAAGGTGCGTCCGAAATCTGAAGAATATATCTCCAGAATCTGAAGATATTTAAAAACGCATGAGTTAAGTTAAGAGATTAGATAAGAAATCTCTGACAAAATATGAAGGCAGGAGGCGTTGGCTTGATTGCAGTAAGTAGGGACACATGACCCTTTTCTTTGACAAACAAAAAAATTATTATTTTTTAAATATATAATATTTGAATACATAAAATTTAGAAAAAAATGAAGGCAAAAGACATTAGCCTGAATGAAGTATGTAGAGACATGGCTTTTTCTAAGAACTGTATTAAAATAATTCAATACTTTTTAAACTCTTAAATTATAGATTTAAAATAATTATAATCAAAATTTACATCAACACTTCCTCAACAATTTCTAAATACTAATCAATAAAAAAACACTCCCTAAATAATTTAAAGTAATTCGTTACTCAATCATGCAACTTTTCCTAACACTGCCAAAAATGATGATGTGAGGAAAGAACAATTCTTATTAGTTGTTATCATCTAAGAAGTAACTAATATTCATTTTGTTTTATTTTATGTTTCCTCATTTTCAAAGGACAGACTCATGAAGTAAAATGTGTTAGGTTATCAAATGTTATGGTCACCAATCTCACCAAACAAATCCTACACTTTGGTTTTTTTGACTAGGTCTTTTTGTCTTAAGTCTCTTTACTAGTAAGCTAACCTCACCCAAACATGATCTAAGTGTTCACAAAAGAAAAGCAAACAAAAAAATCAATAAATTTTAATAAGAATCAAATAAGATTTTTTTAGGTAGAAAAAAACTATATATAAAATCACTTACGGCTTGAGGTGGAAATATGACATGTTTTTCCCGTTAAGTCTCGTTACAAAAGTCAATAAAAAACAGAATAGAAAAGACATTATTAAATGTGCCAGTCTAAAATTTTGTCCCGTCTTATAAAAAAACGACAACGTCTCAAGATGGACTCAAAGATAATATACATTTAAACTCTAAAATTATAAAATTTTAATAAGAATCAATTGAATAATATTTCTTTTAAGTAGAAAAAAAAAACTAACAATAAAACTTATTACATTTAGGGAGGTACCGCCTCAAAAAAGTCTATGAAAAAATGAGGTGAAATGAATATTATTGAGTGTGTGATTCTAAAATCTTGATCCATCATACAAAAAAATTTATGAACAATATTCTTTTGAAGCTTAAAAATTACAAAAATTTATATTAATGCCCGCGCACACAAAAATCTGTAAAAACAAAGTGAGGCGCGATAGACAAAAGGTGCGTGTCTAAAATCTTAATCACCTGAAAAAAATGCAGGCAAACAAACGTGTTTTTCGAGACCAAATCCGTTTTGCCACCCATATTAATCCAATTCAGTTGTTTATTGCAAAACTATTCAATTGTTAATCCAACTCAGTTGTTAAATGTAACTCGATTACAAAAATTGTATTTTCAAATTCGCACAGTCCCTTTATTCATCTTTTTAAATTTTCACTCAAAGAGATCTTTGTCACTATTTTAAAAAATTGTAATTAAAGAATACCTTTTTAAAAAATCCACGTTTGTAGCTTGTACCGTTGTCCAAAAACAACTAACTCTAACCTCTTCACACTACATTTATTTTTCTAACATATCTTTTATTTAAACCCCTAAGATACTATTTTTCCATATATCATACATACATATCAAACCACTCTTAAAGAGACTCACTCACATTTCCCATATCATACTTCTGTGAACCAATTCAGGTATCATGAAAAACACAAACACATGCATTCCATGTGACATTTTTTGACATTGTTTCTTGTTTTTTTTTTTTTTTTTTTAACATTGTTTCTTGTTTTTAACATTGTTTCTTAGTATTTTAACATTGTTTCTTGTTATTTTAACATTGTTTTTAACATTGTTTCTTAGTATTTTAACATTGTTTCTTGTTTTTTTTTTTCTTTTTCAGGTGAATTAATCAAGAACTTTTTGAGATGGAGAATTCCAACTATGAAAACGGTTTCCAACAAATTATTGTAAAGCTAACAACCGAACCATCACTTGTTCCGCCATCCGAGGAAACAAAGAAAGGACCATACTTTCTATCAAACCTTGATCAAAACATTGCTGTCATTGTTCGAACCGTTTATTGTTTCAAAAACAAAGACAAGGGAAACGAGAATGCTTGTGAAGTGATCAAGAATGCATTGAAAGATGTTCTTGTTCATTACTACCCTCTTGCTGGGAGGTTAAGTATAAGCTCAGAGGGTAAACTGATTGTGGATTGTACAGGAGAAGGTGCTCTTTTTGTTGAAGCTGAAGCTAATTGTTCAATGGAGGAAATTGGTGATATTACAAAACCTGATCCTAGGACTCTTGGGATGTTGGTTTATGATATTCCTGATGCTAAACATATTCTTCAGATGCCTCCTTTGGTTGCTCAGGTATGTTTTGTGACTAGTCTTTTCTTATCTTGAAACTAATTTTTTTAGGGTGGTCCCTAGTTTTTTTTAATAAAATGTTTTAAAGTTTAGATATTTTAGATATTCAGTTTCGATTTTGTTTATTTGCAATTTGGTTATGTATCGTAATTGTTTATGTAACATGATAATTAAACATAACAATCGAACTTTTACGTGGAACATAACGGTTTGATTATTTTTTCAATATTTCAGGTGACAAAATTCAAATGTGGAGGTTTTTCTCTTGGACTATGCATGAATCACTGTATGTTTGATGGAATTGGTGCTATGGAGTTTGTGAATTCATGGGGAGAACTAGCAAGAGGTTTACCAATCTCGATTCCTCCGGTTCTTGACCGAAGCATACTTAAAGCGCGCAATCCGCCAAAGATTGAGCATTTGCACCAAGAATTTGCTGACATTGAAGACAAATCAAACACTAGTAGCTTATACGAAGACGAAATGGTGTATAGGTCATTCTGTTTCGATCCCGAAAAACTAAAAGAATTGAAGAAAAAAGCCATGGAAGGTGAAAACAGTGTGCTTGAATCTTGCACAACATTTGAAGCACTTTCAGCATTTGTTTGGATAGCTAGAACAAAAGCACTTAAAATGCTTCCAGAACAAGAAACAAAGCTTCTTTTTGCTGTTGATGGAAGGGCAAAATTTGAACCAAAGCTTCCAAAAGGGTATTTTGGGAATGGAATTGTGCTAACAAAATCTGTTTGTAAAGCAGGTGAAATTACAAACAAGCCCTTTTCACATACTGTGAAACTTATCCAAGAAGCAATTAAAATGGTGAATGATGGGTACATGAGATCAGCTATTGATTATTTTGAGGTAACAAGAGCTAGGCCTTCTTTGGCTTGCACACTCTTGATCACAACTTGGTCCAGACTTTCTTTTCATATCACTGATTTCGGTTGGGGCGAACCGGTTCTGTCGGGACCGGTTGGCTTGCCGGAGAAGGAAGTGATTTTGTTCCTTTCACATGGTCAGGAGAGGAGAAACATCAATGTGCTTCTTGGTTTGCCTGCTCCTGTCATGAAGATCTTTCAAGATTTGATGAAGATTTAGGATTTTCTTGTTATGAAATATATATAATTTGATTATGTTGTTATTTACTACTATGGCTATGTGATTTCTTAAAGTGAGTATTTATTATGTTTATGAATTTATTGGTGCTACTTTAGTCAATAACTAATGTCCTTGTATTAATAATTTATTTATATTAATATATAAATATAAATATATTTTTGATGGTTGATGTAGTTTGTTTATATGAAATACATTATATTGTTATTTTTTGGGCTTGACCTGAAAACATTTTTTGAAAATTTAATATTTGATTAAAAAATAAAAAATAAATAACTATCTCAAACCGGAATTTAGATATGATATTGTAATACTCCGTATTATTTAAATTACTTTAAATAATATTAGTTGAGATCAAATGAGTTTTTTTATATACTCTGAGAGTTATCAGTTGTGATAATTAGAGTAACTAGTAAACTCATATTGATTTAATTAATATTATTCGACTCTGACCTTTTATTAATTGGTACAATTGAGATATTTTGATAACTTTAATATTGAACATTTTACCAATTAATACTCTTTTCTACCATCCATATTAATTAGTCTTACTAACTTATAAAGAAATAATATGTTTACACTAGTTTGACATTTACACCGTATATCCATACGGTAAGGGAGTACCTTTTTATTTTTGTTTATTATATTTATGGAAATTGAAAATTGTGTCACTGCAAAGTAAAGATTAAAAGCTACGGTGTATGTACAGGGTGTGTCGTAAATGCATTGTCAAAATAGCATTCCTCCTAACTTATAATAATAATTCTATGTATTATTTTTCCATTCATTTTCTTCATTCTACCAAAGTGGGAAAAATAGTAATAGGAAATGGAGAGAAAGAGGAGAAAAGGGGAAAGAAGATGGAAAACTTAGAGGAAGAAGAAAGATGAAGTTCTTCATCATTCATCATCTCATCTTCAAAGATTGATTTGTGTGAAGAATTCTGATTTACCAAAGACCGTATTTAGGACCCGATATGTCCATTATGAATTTCTTGTGATGTCTTTTGGTGTGACGAATGCTCCAGCTGTTTTCATTGATTACATGAATCGAATATTTCAACCTTACTTAGATTAATTTGTGGTGATCTTGATTGATGACTTTCTTATTTATTCTCGTACTCCATAAGAGCACGGAGAACATCTAAGAATCGTTCTATCGGTGTTGCAAGAGAAACAACTTTTTTCCAAGTTAAGCAAGTGCGAGTTTTGGATGACGGAAATAAAGTTTCTCGGTCATGTGATATCTTAAGGAGGTGTGGCAATAGATCCATCAAAAGTCAATGTGGTGATTAATTGGGAAAGACTGAGGAATGCTTTCGAAGTAAGAAGTTTCTTAGAATTGACAGATTACTATAGGAGATTCATTAAAGGTTTTTCTGAGTTGGCTTTACCAATGACCAAACTTACTCGGAAGGAGATTCCTTACAATTGAGATTCAAGTTGTGAATAAAGTTTTGCAAGTTTGAAGGAGAGATTGACGACTACTCCTATTTTGATTATTCATGATCCTAGTAAGCCTTATGAAGTATTTTGTGATGCATTTAAGAAGGGATTAGGAGGAGTTTTAATGCAGGGTGGTCAGATTGTAGCTTATGCCTCTCGTCAGTTAAAGGTTCATGAAGAGAATTATCCAACTCATGATCTGGAGTTAGTGGTTGTTGTTTTTACAATGAAGGTATGTCGTCACTACTTGTATGGAGTGCGCTTTGAGATGTTTAGTGATCACAAGAGTTTAAAGTATTTGTTTGATTAAAAGGAGTTGAACATGCATCAAAAGAGGTGGATGAAGTATTTGAAGGATTTTGAATTTGAACTGAAGTATCATCCAGGTAAATAAAATAAGGTGGTGAATGCGTTAAGTAAGAAAAAAGTACATAAAGCCGAGTTGATGATGTTTGAGTATGCGTTGTTGGAAAAGTTTTGAGACCTTAATCTTCAATTTTTTTGGACTCAGAATAGTGTGATAATGAGAAATTTGAATGTTAATTCCACTATAAGGGAAGAAATTCAACAAGGACAAATGACAGATACAAAGTTTCAAGGGATGTTGGATCAACAGAGTTTCACTCTTGCCATAGATGGAGTTGTTCTTTTTAATCAAAGGATTTGTGTTCCGGATGATGTAGAGTTAAAAAGGAAGATTTTGGAAGAAGCTCATAAATGAGGTTTTACCATACATCCCGGTTCCTCAAATATGTCTCAAGACTTGAAAAAAGACTATTGGTGGTCTGGGATGAAAAATGATATTGCAGAATATGTAGTCGAATATGTGGTGTGACAACAGGTGAAGATTGAGCACCAGAAACCGGGTGATTTGTTGCAACCGTTAGAGATTCCAGTATGGAAATGGAATATCATTTCAATGGATTTTGCAGTTGGGTTACCTCGTACGCAAGGTGGTTATGATTCTATATGGGTAATTGTTGATTGGTTGACAAAGTTTGCAAATTTACTAGCAGTGAAGAATACTTACAAGGCAAGTCTTCTTACACGATTGTTTGTTGAGGAAATTGTGAGACTACATGGTGTCCCCTCTAGTATTGTGTCCGATAGAGATCCAAGATTTACTTTAAGATTTTAGAGAGCTTTTCAACAAGCCAGAAGATCTAGGTTGTGCTTAAGTACGTCGAATCATCCCCAGACGGATGGTCAGACGAAAAGGACGATACAAATGTTGGAAGATATGTTGAGAGCTTGTGTGCTTGAAAGTGGAGAAAATTGGAAAGAGCTTTTGACATTAATTGAATTTGCATACAATAGCAGTTACCAAGCAAGTATAGGAATGGCTCCTTACAAAGCTTTGTATGGAAAAAAGTGTAGAACATCTTTTTGTTGGACAAAAGTTGGTGAAAAACGGATTCTAGGACTGGAAATTATGCAAGAAACTACAAAAAAAGATAAGAATGATACGTGAAAAGGTATAGAAGGCACAAGAGAGTCAAAATAGTTATGCAGATAATCGAAGGAGGCCTTTAGAATTTGAGGAAGGTGATCATGTATTTTTGAAGGTTACTTCAAGATAGAGATTCAAAGGACCGTTTAAATCGCGAAAGTTAAGTCCGAGGTACGCGAGACCATATCATATTTTAGAAAGGATTGGCGAAGTTGCTTACTGATTACAACATAAAACACACAACATTACCTACACGAGACCACACCACGAAATGAGTTGCAAATTCGGGTCTTCTTCATACCTAATAGACTTCTATCCTGAAAGAATGAACGACGTAGTCGTTCATCTTACTTGGTTTAAGCCAATTAGATAGGGGCATTTGTCATACCCCAAATTTGTCCTATCTGTGTATAACCTTCATTTGTACATCCACCCACCAGTTATCATTTAGAAAACCCAAAAAATATGTTGTTACTTTCATTTGAAGATGTCAGGTCAGGTGTGTATAGGCAGTGTTGATTGAGGTTCAATGGTTTTGACCTAATTTGTTGATCAGGCAGAATTTTGTTTCCTGATTAAAGCCAGGGTGTGCTCCATTCAAATGGTATAGGTCTGAGCTTCTAATTAGGATTTTGTTGTCAGGTTGTGCCAAGTTCATAATGCTTTATGGGTGAAGATTATCAAGAATCAGTTCACTTTCCAATTAGGGTTCTGGACCATACAATTCATATCAAGATGTGGTCTACTGATTTTAGGTGATTTCTTTGTTCGAGGTTCTAATGCGTCAAAAGATCCAGATTACTTCATGATTCATTCAAAAGTTGTTGAGGTTTGGTTCTTATTGCAATTGTGAATTTAATTCAAGTGTGGTGTTGTTTAAGTTCAGTCTGTGTGCATATGTGGTTCTTTTGAGTTAAGATTTTGTTCTCATGATTCAAGCCCATTATCCATTATTCAAGTTCCATTCAATTCCAATTTCTTTTTATATTTTTCCGATATTCATATTTCTAAACTAATTCCAAATTTCACGCTTTTATAAATTTGTCTCAAATTATTCTACAAAGCATTTGTCCAAAAAATATACATGAGCAAAAATTCCACCATAAAAATCCTATGTCAATTCTACAAAGTCACAAAGTTCATTCTATAAAAAAAAGCCATATCATTTTACAATAGGAACTCCAAGTTTACAAAACCATTACAAGAATAAAGTTTTAAAGCCCACTTGTTTTACAAAAATATCACACAAAAAACATGAACAAAGTAGTACCAATGTCAATACAACCTGATCTCACCTGATCAGAAAGAATCAATGGCCTGCCACGCGTCGTTGGATTGTTGTTTTCACCGAAGTTACGGAGAGAAATGGGGGTGTACCTGCAAGGCACTCTGATGCTTAAGTGAGTAAAGGATCAGAGATAAAGCAAGAACAAAGATTAGGTGTGGAGAAGAAGTTACCTGACCCTCTAGTGAAATAATGTATTTATAGTGTGCCCCTAGCGCAGGGCCAACAGTTACATTGTATTGGGCCAGACTGCCAGGCCTAACCCAAGTAACTGCCAGGGCTTACATGGCATAATGAAGACCATCACGTGGTCTTCGCCCTGGATCAACTACCCTGTGATCTTCGGAAGATGGGCTGACCAACTTTTTCGGAGCTGGGTAGTTGTCCGATGACGTGTCCCCACGTAGAGGGGTGTTGCACCCCAAAATTTGCTTAACTTTTTCTTGCCTGATTTATGTTTCATTGCATTTCATTTGCATAGCATAACATAGCCCTAACATTGGCATAGCATATCATCATTCATTGTGCAGGGGATCAAGGGTGAGATATGAAAGAAAGAGCCTAGCTGGAGGTTCACACAAAATAGAAAAGTCATCAAGAGTATCATGTCAAAAGAGGGTGTCCTTGAGGAGTTTGATCATCTGTATGAGGTCTATCTTCAAGTGTGAGGAGGTATCTGAGGAGCCTCCAGGGTTTAAGGAGTCTTGATCAAGGGTATGATGTATGAGTGAAGTTTAATGAGTCTCTAGAAATTCAAGAAGGAGCTTAGACAAGTCATTGTATCAAGTTCAAGAGCCATGGT